AGTAGTCGACATTTGAAGTGGATCAAAACCTTTCATCAAAGTTATGCATGAATTTTGAACAATACCCGTTCTTGTCTTAGGACAACATTGATTAACTTTTTTGATCCACTTCTGTAGTTTACATCAGGAAGAGTTGAGTTACTGAATGCTGATATTATGTAAATGTGGGCGGTCATATTAGTCATAATTAGCTCATGATGTGCTATATTAATCGTATAGAAGAATGCATCTTTTTCAGATCATGAATAAATGAAAATACCCAGAAAAGCTGAAAGTCTGTCTAATGTGAGAGGTGTTTGAGACCTCGGCTCTCCCTGACGGCTCTCTCCTGTCTCTCTGAAGGCGTGTGTGAGCAGTAATTAGTGTGTGTGTCTGTGTGATTGTGTGTGATTCGAGGGCATCGGCGCTGGACTCTGAGGGGTTGAAGGTCTCTCCAGGACGCTGGCGTCTCCTCTGATTTACGAGCCTCTTTTTTTTTCTGGTCTGGTTCATCTGCCCCCAGAAAATGTGTTTGTCACACACTTCAGAGCAGCAGTGGAGATCAGACGGCAGCAAGCGTGGCTTTGTGTTTCGCTAATAAGCTCCTTCTTCTCCCCGTGTGACTCGGAGCGTTGCCCCTTTTAAAGAGAGAGAGTGTGTGTGTGTGTGTGTGTGTTTCACTGCTGCGCTGCTTTGATACTCAATGCTTTGTACTGTGTTTTGCTTTGCGTCATGAAAGTGTGTTTTCAGAGAGTTGTTAAGGGCACTAGATTGTATTTGCAGGTCGGTAAGTTGAGTTTGAGTGCTTTTGGGACTGGAATACTTGCATACTACAGAGTATTTTATAATATTTGTGATCTTTACTTTATAATAATTGTATATTTGATGTATTTTATATAAAAGATAGAATATACACTACCGTTAAAATGTTGTTGGGGTCTGAGGTGTTTTCTGGGCCCTGGAGAGGTTTTGATATGCTTTGACATTCGTGCTTATTTCTGTTACTTATAACATTTTCATGGCTAAAGTCTGATTACACTGTTTTCAGCTCAAACTCTGCTACAATAATATGTCCGCAGCATGTATGTTAAAGTTTTGTAGTTTTGAAAATCATCCTGGCCACTCATTCACTGAGCCACTGAGCCATCTGACCAATCACAACAGACTGAGCCATCTGACCAATCAGAGCAGAGTAGACCGATCACAACAGACTGAGCCATCTGACCAATCAGAGCAGAGTAGACCGATCACAACAGACTGAGCCATCTGACCAATCAGAGCAGAGTAGACCGATCACAACAGGCTGAGCCATCTGACCAATCAGAGCAGAGTAGACCAATCACAACAGACTGGCCCGTCTGGCCAATCAGAGCAGAGTAGACCAATCATAACAGACTGAGCCATCTGACCAATCAGAGCAGAGTAGACCAATCACAACAGACTGAGCCATCTGACCAATCAGAGCAGAGTTGACCAATCACAACAGACTGAGCCATCTGACCAATCAGAGCAGAGTAGACCAATCACAACAGACTGGGCCATCTGACCAATCAGAGCAGAGTAGACCGATCACAACAGACTGAGCCATCTGACCAATCAGAGCAGAGTAGACCAATCACAACAGACTGGAACATCTGACCAATCAGAGCAGAGTAGACCGATCACAACAGACTGAGCCATCTGACCAATCAGAGCAGAGTAGACCGATCACAACAGGCTGAGCCATCTGACCAATCAGAGCAGAGTAGACCAATCACAACAGACTGGCCCGTCTGGCCAATCAGAGCAGAGTAGACCAATCACAACAGACTGGCCCGTCTGGCCAATCAGAGCAGAGTAGACCAATCACAACAGACTGAGCCATCTGACCAATCAGAGCAGAGTAGACCAATCACAACAGACTGGGCCATCTGACCAATCAGAGCAGAGTAGACCGATCACAACAGACTGAGCCATCTGACCAATCAGAGCAGAGTAGACCAATCACAACAGACTGAGCCATCTGACCAATCAGAGTAGAGTAGACCAATCACAACAGACTGGGCCATCTGACCAATCAGAGCAGAGTAGACCGATCACAACAGACTGAGCCATCTGACCAATCAGAGCAGAGTAGACCGATCACAACAGGCTGAGCCATCTGACCAATCAGAGCAGAGTAGACCAATCACAACAGACTGGCCCGTCTGGCCAATCAGAGCAGAGTAGACCAATCACAACAGACTGAGCCATCTGACCAATCAGAGCAGAGTAGACCAATCACAACAGACTGAGCCATCTGACCAATCAGAGCAGAGTTGACCAATCACAACAGACTGAGCCATCTGACCAATCAGAGCAGAGTAGACCAATCACAACAGACTGAACCATCTGACCGTAGACCAATCACAACACACTGGGCCATCTGACCAATCAGAGCAGATTAGACCAATCACAACAGACTGAGCCATCTGACCAATCAGAGCAGAGTAGACCAATCACAACAGACTGAGCCATCTGACCAATCAGAGCAGAGTAGACCAATCACAACAGACTGAGCCATCTGACCAATCAGAGCAGAGTAAGCTCTCAGAAAGGAGGGTTTACAGAGACAAAATCATTTATCAATCTGTTTCAGACACCGAGAAAAGAGGTGATGCTGCAATGCATATTTTGAGGAAAATAAAGTGTTTTTTGACTCGGATGCACATAAACCTATTGTTGGAGACTCCAGATCAAAACTAGGAGCCTTTAAAATAGCGTAATAGGGGCACTTTAAAATTCAATTAATAAAATAATGAGTTGATAGACCTGTGATATCACTTCTAATTCATTACACTTGAAATGAAGGGTCATGTCAAGCAAATTGCCTTATGGTAAAGAGTTGCGTTGGGCTTTGGTTCTACACCGCACATTTGATCAAATGTAGTTTTTGCATAATGTGCGCGCATAAATAAAGTATCATGTTCTTCATCTCTGCTGTTGGGTTTGATCTTAATGATGTCTGCGGTTCCGTGCGTATAGAGAGTCGCTCTGAACTGATCTGGGATCAGAATGACGCAGCAGCAGAAACACACACTCAGCAAAGAGACAGAAAAAGGTTGATTTGATGGGTTCTGTAGGAATATTTAATGTGAGAGAGTCAAACTGGGTAATGAGGGGCGGCTGAGGAGAGAGAGAGAGACCAAGAGAGGAGATCCAACTTTTTCACCTTTTTTTTTCAAATTTTTATGTTATCAGTTTTAACATATTGATTATTCTGTAGGCTATATTTGTTGCCACTTTCAGTATATTAGCGTTTTGACATTGAGTGACGTTTTTTTGCCGCCACATTAAAAGCATGGGTGTTTGTGTCACTTTCGGTGTGGTTTTGCTGTAGTTTCTGACCCCGAGTGTTTGTAGTTCCACAGAACAAACAGGGATAAAGAGGAGATGAACCCGACAGAAAGCGGCTGATCTCACGTCGCACTCGTCCTGTATCCGCCGGCTTTAATTGGGACCTGCGGTTTGTTCAGGAACTCTCTGTGTAGATTTAATTCCCGCTCATTTACAGCGGCTGACGGTTCTCGACTCATTAAGACTCCAGGAAAAGATCTGCTGGAACAACAGCTGAGACAAACACCAAATAACATGACCAGAACAGGCCAACGGGAAAAATCCAGTGCTTTTATCTTCCTCCTGCATTTAAAGATTCCTTCCACTTTCTCTGTTGAATACAGGTTCTTATTTATCTATTTATTTTCACCCATAAGTCTTATTTCTGGTGAAATACTGCCATGGACCACAGTGATCTATATCTTGGAATTATATATGATAGATAATACACACACATAAATATATATATATATATAAATGAAATGGAATTGTTTATTGAACCTTTAGACAAAAATATTGTAAAAATCTTTTTAAAAATTGCATGTTTTTGTTGAGTAACATACTATACATCAGGCTTTTATGGCTCATATAGTATGACATAGTGAGAATATTGAAGAAAACGCATCTTATTTTTATCCATAGGCCCAAACTGTGCACAAATATTGACAATGTTGATATTTATATGGCCGTTCAGATAGCTTTAATGCAAATCAATGGGATATTTTTTACAGTATAGCAACATCAGTCGTCAATAATATCTCTTGGTAAGATGATATTAGCATGCTTTGTTTTATGCTCTGTGGTTTAAAAACATATAATGCAATGCAATACAATGATGATTGACAGGTGAACCTTCCTCAAAAGCCTGATGATCATATTTGATGCTCGCATTTGAGCATGATTATTAATACTTTTTATTTTTTTTGCAGAAAAATCAAGTAAAACTAAGTTGCTTCAGTCCAGTAAGTGTTCATCTTGAAACTTTGAGGTTATTCTTATGTTAACGTTATAGTAATCAGTTCAGATTTCACCATTAAAAGACACGTGAACCACAAGCTGAAGGTGAACTTTTTTTTTTACAAAATCCCTTTTACTTACTAAAAACATATCAGTCAGATGACAGAAGGCGTATAGTAGTTTGTGTACAACAGGTTTTTCAGCAAAGTTGATCATTTCAAGGCCTTTGAAATGTGCGTATTAAATATGACACAGCCAGCTTTATAGGGAAGCTCGTAGCTTGACAAACAACCTGGTTTCGACACCGCTGAGCAGAAAGTGTTCGTGTGAAGACGTGTTAAAGCGTCTGTCTGAGCGCCGACCGCTGTTAACATTAGTAACCTGTCAGGAAAATCAAAGCTCTCAGTCAAAACATCGTAGGGAGACTGATTTCCTTTTTTCTGCGCCGTGGAAAAATCCCAGTGGCCTCTATAGTCCTCCGAGCGGCTTCTACAACAACACAAAGTCTGTTCATTAGTAATGATCAAGCGTGTCTGTAATCATCCGTGAGATGTGATCGTTGTTTTCCTGGCCTATTTAAAGTGCAGGGCGGCCCGTTTTCCCTGATCGGCGCGCTTGGGAAGAGAAGAACGTTCAGTTTGAACATACGGCCCTATATGTGAAGGCCGCAGGGGTTTAACGTACGCTTTTGTTTGCATTGATGTTTGCAGGGTAACCAGGAGGCCAGCAATCCGGCGGACATGGCCCAGACGTACACCCCTCAGTACGGGCATCCCCCGCAGAACGAGTTCAGCGCCACACACACTCTTCCCACGCAAGACTACGCGGGACAGAACCGCGTCCCGGATCACGGCTTGACGCTCTACACGGCGGCACAGACTCACAGCGACCTGGCCAACGCCGACAGCAACACGCCAGCCATCAGCAGCGGGAACAACACAGCACCGGTGCGTCAAACACACACACACACATGTGAACACGGTGCTCTCTGTGGAAGCTTGTTGAAAGGGAATGTCCAGAGAAGAAGACATTTAAGACTTTTTCTCTCAATTCTGAAAATGAAAATGAGACAATTGCAAGAAATAAACGTAGAATTGCAAGACAAAAATTCACGATTCTGACAGTTCTGACAATTCTGAGTTTATATCTCAAAATAAACTGTGAGAGAATTGTGAGATGTGAACTCACTATTGCGAGATATAAACTCATATAAAGAGTTAAGGTCCTTGCACACTGAGTGTGTAAAATAGAAAAATAAATACGACCTCACATTGTGTCAATCACGTTTGCACACTGCCTCCGAAACTTTCGTCCGTCATAAAAAAAATTCGAATCGGGTTCGATTTTCTGCGTTTTTCGCATCCGTAGCAAGCATTCTGAGGGGTGTTTTGACTCAGTTTGCAAGGACCTTTAGAATTGTGAGATATAAACTTCGAATTGAATTGTGAGATATGAACTCAGAATTGAATTTTGAGATGTGAACTCAGAATTGAGAGATATAAACTCGCAATTCTTGGAAAGAAAATTGTATATTCCATAGAGAGAAAAAAAAGGAATTGCGGGTTGAAAACTCAGAATTCTAAGAAAAAAAGAAAGAATTGCAAGATGTAATGTCAGAATTTTGAAAAAAAGACAAACATTGCAAGATGTAAATTCAAAATTCTAAAAAAAGACAGAATTGCAAGTTGTAAACTCAAAGACAAATTGCAAGAAGTAATTTAAGAATTCTAAAAAAAAGACAGAATTGCAAGATGTAAATTCAGAATTCTAAAAAAAAGACAGAATTGCAAGATGTAAATTCAGAATTCTAAAAAAAGACAAAATTGCAAGACATGAATTCAGAATTACAAAAAACTCGGAATTCTAAAAATAAGACAAATTGCAAGATTTAATTTAAGAATTCTAAAAAAAGACAGAATTGCAAGATGTAAATTCAGAATTCTAAAAAAAAACAGAATCACAAGATGTAAATTCAGAATTCTAAAAAAAGACAAAATTGCAAGACATGAATTCAGAATTATAAAAAACTCGGAATTCTAAAAATAAGACAAATCGCAAGATGTAATTTAAGAATTCTAAAAAAAGACAGAATTGCAAGATGTAAATTCAGAATTTTAAAAAAAGACAGAATCGCAAGATGTAAATTCAGAATTCTAAAAAAAGACAGTTGCAAGACATGAATTCAGAATTATAAAAAACTCGGAATTCTAAAAATAAGACAAATTGCAAGATGTAATTTAAGAATTCTAAAAAAAAAGAATTCTAAAAAAAGACAGAATTGCAAGATGTAAATTCAGAATTCTAAAAAAAGACAGAATTGCAAGATGTAAATTCAGAATTCTAAAAAAAGACAAAATTGCAAGACATGAATTCAGAATTATAAAAAACTCGGAATTCTAAAAATAAGACAAATTGCAAGATGTAATTTAAGAATTCTAAAAAAAGATAGAATTGGAAGATGTAAATTCAGAATTCTAAAAAACTCGGAATTCTAAAAATAAGACAAATTGCAAGATGTAATTTAAGAATTCTAAAAAAGACAGAATTGCAAGATGTAAATTCAGAATTCTAAAAAAAGACAGAATCGCAAGATGTAAATTCAGAATTCCAAAAAAAGACACAATTGCCAGACATGAATTCAGAATTATAAAAAAACTCGGAATTCTAAAAATAAGACAAATTGCAAGATGTAATTTAAGAATTCTAAAAAAAAAGAATTCTAAAAAAAGACAGAATTGCAAGATGTAAATTCAGAATTCTAAAAAAAGACAGAATTGCAAGATGTAAATTCAGAATTCTAAAAAAATACAAAATTGCAAGACATGAATTCAGAATTATAAAAAACTCGGAATTCTAAAAATAAGACAAATTGCAAGATGTAATTTAAGAATTCTAAAAAAGATAGAATTGCAAGATGTAAATTCAGAATTATAAAAAACTCGGAATTCTAAAAATAAGACAAATTGCAAGATGTAATTTAAGAATTCTAAAAAAAGACAGAATTGCAAGATGTAAATTCAGAATTCTAAAAAAAGACAGAATTGCAAGATGTAAATTCAGAATTCTAAAAAAAGACAGAATTGCAAGATGTAAACTCAGAATTCTGAAAAGAAAAGTTGTCCTAATAAGAAAATTCAGAATTTTTTTCCGCAATTCTGAGAGAAAAAGACAGCATTTTGAGATATAAGCTCAGAATTGTGAGATAAACTCACAATTACCACAATTTCTTTTCTTTTTTTTTCCATTGTGTAGATATAAACTCGGTATTAAAAAAAAGAATTGCAAGATGTAAACGCGGTACACTGTAAAAGAAAAGATTCAAAGTTTGAAAATAGAACATATTGGAGTATGTTTTACCAAAAATACTATTTCAGTCTTTTTTTACTTCAAAATATCACCAGTGAAAAAAAATTCAAAGTAAATCCTACAGCGGTTTTGTTCAGCGTACACATAAAGTACTTCAACTAGAGTAAAGCTACTGTTTTTATAAATAGAAGCTTATTTTTACGCTAGTCCTTCTGAAATAAAAAAGTAAAAAAACATTTCCCCCTCTTTTTCTCTGCTGTTCTGCCATTAAACGTGTTTGCATTTCTCTGATTTACTCCTGAGATTCACTATTGCTGCACTGCTAATGCTTTACTCTTGAATTATACATGGCTTGTGTTGCTCTTCATTTCGCTTTGTATATAAAAAAAATCTGCTTCCTTTAATGTGAATTAACAGTAGTATAGTTATGACTTACCGAATTGAAGCCTATTACTATAGTAACTGCATGTGTTTCCAAAAAACAGTATCAGTACAGTATCAAGATGAATTTATGGTGAAAAATGGTAAAAAAAAATTGTCTCTGTACGACAGGAGGATGAAACCAGACGAAAAAGGAACGTCGTTCTGGAGGCGTAGAAAGCTATTATATTTTAATGAAGGAAATGCAAATGCTTCAAACAAAACATAAGAGGCCTGTGAGAGTCAGTAAGTTAAATACACAAACAGAGACGCATCCTTTTGAGGTATTATGGTGTTAATTTAAAGGAATCTGACTATTTTTCCCCTTTCGCACTGATGAATTGTTCAATCAACAAGACCAGGAACGTGCATAAAGACTATAAAATTAGATTTTATTGTTAGCAACTATCAGCAGATCTCATTGAGTTCACTCTAAAAAACGTCTCTTGACTTCATTAGATGAACTTGTGCGTCCCGGAGTGGACGAGGTTCGTCTCTCGTAAGTCATTTCTGAAATATTCTCTGATTATGAAGCCGTGGAGGAGCCTGTGCATGAAGCCGCAGTGTGAGACGCCGTGTTTTGGGAGTACATGCTCCTCTGTCCAAAATAATGAGCAGTGAGAGACCGCTTGACACCACTGTAATGATGTGTCACACACTGTGCTGTTATAATGACATAATCACTGTCATGTTTGGCTCGCGCACTATCACTATCTCTCGCTCGCAGACAGAGTGACAGCAAATAAGAGCCGTGTCGGTTTGCATCATTCCTGCTTCATGCAGTCGGGACATTAATTGATGCTACTGTGTCTAAATACCAACGCACTTTATTCAGTGCATTGGGTCCTTATGCTGTTCTTGTATTGTGCTGATGGTATTTGCATTCGGCTTGAATGAGACGAAAAGCTCAAATGTGTTGACGATGATGCGTGTTTGGTAGTTTATCGTCAGTGGTTTCTTCTTCCTCTTCTCCTCCTGGCCTGTTTTCTTTATGTCTTCAGAGAAGTGTGAACATGGTGTAGCATGAATAATTTAGCGTAGCAGAAAGGTGGACACGCTCGCTAGTTAATCTCGCTCGGCCGCGTGGATTTCTCACTGATCTGCAGGTCTTTCTCGGAGGCTCACGGCCCCGTCCTTAAACCTTATAATAAATTATCATTGTTCGGATGAAGAGTGTGTCATATTGAAGGCGCTTCCTTGGGCATAATGATAACCAATTCTATTGATTAAAGGAATGAATGAATTGTATATTTTTTATGTTTTGTATTTATTATAAAAATAATATATTAAAAGCTTAAAAAGTTAAGTTATTGAGAAAAAAAAAACGTTTTGCTATTTTAATTCAGTAAATATTTTTCATGTTAAGCGTACATCTTACAACATTTACTGAGCTTTATGCTTATAACAAGAAAAATAAATCAATAGAAAGAAAAAATGAATGAATTAACAAGCAAACAAACGAACGAACGAACGAAAGAAAGGATGAAGGAAAGAGAAAGAAAGTAAAAACGAAGGCATGAAAGGAAGAAGGAAAGGATGAGGATGAGAAAGATTGAACAAAAGAAAAAGCGAAAGGACAAATGAACGAAATTAAAAACAAACGACTCACAAAGAACAAACGAAGCAACCAAAAAAGAAAAAGAAAGAACAAAAGAAAGGACAAATGAACAAAAGTTAGAAAAAGAAAAGGACAAATGAACGAAAATATCGAACGAACAAAAAAAGAGGAAGCATTACATTAAAGAAAAGATGAACGAAAGAAAGAAAGGATGAACAAAAGATAGAAAAAAAGGACGAAATAAATAATGAACAAAGGAACAAAAAAATTAACGAAAGAAAGAGTGAGTAAGTTTGTGTGTTTGTGAGGGAGTGTGTGTGTGTGTGTGTGTGTGTCGATCATTAGTTATTAACTTAGGGGCCGCTAAGACGACACCGATCTTACAGAAAACCCTCAATGCAATCCGGCCGCTCATTTGCACCAAACAGTGCCTGGTGGCTCGAGAACACAAACCATGAAATAGGTTCCAAGGTACAAGCCTTGAAAAATGTATAATACAGAATTTTTTATTGCTTCCGCGTAGCCACGTGAACCGGAATTATCCCGACAACGTTTTATCTGTAGAGAGGTAAGGGAAGGAAGGAGCCCTTCACAGGGAGGGACTAGTGACACTTCAGGACTGCGTTGTCGTCGTGTCCAGGCGCAGGTCCTTCATCAGATCTG